CCTCCTTCTTTACCTCCTTAGCCTGGCAAGGCACAGAGCAGGCTGCCGAGGAGCAGGAGGGAGGCATAGAGGTTGGGGAAGGCAGCAGAGAGACTGGCATGGAGCGGCCTCTGCGTGCGCTCCCAGCACGAGCTTGCGGCAGTGCCCTTGCCCAGTGAGTGTGCGAGTTCTGTGCCCAAGAGGTGGACTCCGTGCAGCAGAGACCTGGGTTCATGGGCACACTGGAGAGAATGCCCGTGGGCCTGGGAGAAGTGACACTGGCACTGCTCTCCTGCTTCCTGACTGCAGCCACCAGTTGTCCGTGGTCACTCTGAGTCACCCTCGGTGCCACTTCTGTCCATGGGGGACGGTCCCCAACAAGGCCTGGCTTTCCTGCCCTGGGTCAAGGTGGCAACTGCCAGACAACAGGAGTTGGATCGCAGCTGGTGGCTGCCCCGTTCTTCCAGCGTGACCACTGTCCCTCCAGCAGCTACTGCTCTGCGGGCTTCAGGCCCCTACGTGAGCTGGCTCTCAGCACACCTTGTGATGTGCTTACAGTCACAGACAGAGGCAAACACAAAGCGAAGGAGAAAGTGAGGCTGCACCCAGGCATGGTGGCACACGCCTGTTGTCCCAGCACTCAGGAGGCTGAAGGAGAGAGTTGTTGAGAGTTCGACACCAGCCTGGGCTGCACCGTGAGCTCAAGGCTAGCCTGAGCTGCATAGCGAGACTGTCTCAAAAAGACAAAGGGAAAAACACAAGTGAGGTGGCTTTTGCCACTTCCTAGCTACGCATGGGCCGTAGTCCCTCAGCTGTAAATGTGGAGATCCCACCTGTCTGCAGGCTTGCCCCATGTCAGGGTTGTCCCAGAGTGAGCTCCCTGGTCGCAGGGACCCAGCTCTTGCCTGATAGCTGTCACCATCGTTGTCACCATTTTTCATTTGTTCTCCTTTTTGCAATTGCACTGGCAAAACTCAACATCTGGATAATACAAGACAGAAGTCAAAAGCACTCTCCCCTCTTCCCACCTGTGCGGACACCGCCCTGCAGGCTGCCATGCTTGGGCTGCTGGCCGGCCTGTGCCTCGGGGTGCGAGGGGAACTCTGTTCTCTGATCCACAGACAAAGCAGGCTGCAGACCAGCTGCTCCGGGACGGGCCTTTGATTCTGAATGTTCATTCGCTTATTCATTTGATGCTGGCCCCGCATGCTCCCTGTGCAGCAGCTGTGGCAGGTGAGCCTCCGGCCTGCATGTCCCAGCCTGCCTCCCCGACAGGTGCAGTCACACTGAAGGCGCTCTGAGCTGGTGACAGACGCAGAGCAGGCCCATCAGGCAGCAGCATGTGCCAGCCAGATGCCAGAGTTGAGCGCAGGGCACTGCCTTCCCCTGCAGCAGAGAAGCAGGTCCCATCTGCCTGGGGCACACATGGCAAATCCAGTTAAGGCGGTTGGAGCTCAAAAGATCCGGCTTCAGCTGGACCGCTCTTGTTCTTTCAGGCAGAACTCACTCGGAAGCCGTCCCCCGTCTCCTGCACATACACGGTTTTAGTTCTGGTAGGCGTCGTGCAAGCTTCACACCATGTCTTCGTATCTCCGGGGCCCTTTGCAGCGTTGTGTGCGTATCTGTGCGGCACCACAGAGCTGAGCTCAGTGAGAGCGTGCGGTCATTCCTCCGGGAGATGCCCTTTCCAGCCCCTGCCACCTGGTGCACACCGGTGACCCTCTGAGGCAGACCCCCACCACACCTCGGGCAGCTGCACGAGGACGGCATGCAAGCGCTGACTTTCCGCATGATGGGCTTTCTTTCCTTCACTATTACTTCCTGCTCCCAGCGGCTGTGTCTAGGGGCTGCCCTTGCTGGCTCCTCCCATCATGCTGCTGTGGACACTTCAGGGGCAGTGCATCCCACACACGGGAGGGGAGCCGCGAGCTCCCAGTGGCAGGAGCTCTTGTTGTGCAAACTCTTGGAGGGGCAGGCACGAGACTCCAGTGCCATCTCCTCGCTCAGTATCGGGGCACCTTCCCTGCCCCCTGGGTGCTTTTGAGGGTTCGCTGTCAGTCCTCTGGGTCATCTGGAGTTGACCCGGACTCCCAGCTATGTTCCAGAGAAGAGACTGGGCCCAGGACCTGGCTCTTTGGAGCTCCAGGTCCCCAGTTACGTTTTGCACTCAGCTTCCCTAGCCGCTGCCCTCCCGTGTTCCCAGGATGCCTGCTGCTGCCTCACTCTGTGATGTGAGGGTACTTACTGCAGGCACAACCTGTGCTGGTCATAGATTTATGAGCATAGTCAGGTGTTTCCTCACATCTTAGCTCAATGCAGCCACTTTTGGATCTTCTTTCCTGGGGCAAGAGGGAAGTGAACCCCTACGTGCTGGTTCAGGTTGTGGGAGATGCTAGCTACCCGAAGGACAGTCAGTGCCTGCTCCTGCGAACTCGCCCTCTGTGGCCTGAGGCCTGTCTGGCTTGACCCTGGCACATCCTGTCTGTCCTGCAGGATCCTGTCCGTCCTTTGGGCTCAGTGGGCATCATCCACTGTAGGCAGCTTTCCCCTGCAGTGCCCTCCATCCGGGCCACGCCTTCCCTGCCCTCCATCTGGGCCTCGCCTTCCCTTCCTCCTCTGCCACCCTTGGACCGCAGTGCCGAGATCTCACTTCCCGCCCTCGCTGCTTTGCTCCCTGAGACCCACATCTGCATCCAGCTCCTGCTGAGCCCTGGTAAAGCTCATGCATAAAGCCAGTGAAGAAAGCTGTAGAAGACACTCAGAAAGCATGGGTTGGCTCAGGAGCATGGGAGCTAAGTTGAGGGCCAGCGGGTCCCAGGTAGCTGGCTCGCCAGGCTCAGGGAAGTGTACATAAGGGGCCGGGAATCCCACTCCCCAGCCCTGCGGCGCAGAGAAGGAAGAACTGTGGCCTCCCCCTTGCTCAGGCCCTAGCGGCCAGGGTCCACACAGGCTTCCCCACCAGTCCCCATGCTTGTCGCCTCCCCACCCCCATGGGAGGGCACACCTCTGCCTCAGCCCTTCTGGCCAGTAGCCAATCTGTGGGTCCTCGGGCATCACCTCAGGATAAGAGATGGCACAGTTTGAAACTCATGCTCTGCCCAGGTGCGGGCTCTCCCTGAGCTGGGGTTCAGGTCCCCTGGTGCCCCAAAGCCTCCCATTGGGCTGTCTTGCCAGTGCTCACTTTCGTGGGTGCTCTCATGTGAGTGCGACCAGCCAGCCGCGCACCCCACCCAGCCTGGACCTCTGCTGTCTCCCTGGGTCTCCGGCCCCAGTCTGCCTGACTGCATCCTCACCAGGCTGTAAGAACTTTTTAAAATGTAAACACTGGCCATAGCTTTTGACAGTGCCTCATCCATTAGCATAATTCTAATTCTAATTGGTGCTTCCGGTGATGTTAAGATGCTCATGTGTTGGAATAGTTTATAACTAACCCCCGATGACTTACACCACTTACTCCCTTGCTTTTACTTTGTAAGTATCTCTGTCACTTTCCTTGCCTGCCTTTAAGTTTGGGGTGATTTTGGCATTTCTAAAGCCACCCTCTGTGTTTGGGGGACCGTGTCAGCGCTGTGGGAAGCCACTTCTCGTGGGCCGCCAGGTTGGCTTCCTTTCTTCCCAACAGCGCACTCAACGAGCTCACACTGCTTGTTTGGGTGTATTTGCACCAAGGACATTGGCAGATCTGCCCACCCAGTTGCTGGGCTTTTCCCTGGGAGAGCTGGTGGTAGAACAGCGCCCTCTTGCCACAAGGGTGCATCACTGCCCTCTGGGCTGTGTATGCCGAGGTCACGGTGACTCCCAGGGCCAGGTGACGGCGGTCTCTGGAGCAGAGGCATGCTTTGAAGCTCCAGGATTGAGATTGAATGTGGCTGCTCTTGAGCAGTGAATGGGGCCGGTCTGGAGGAGCCCCACAGCCGTGTACACGAGAAGGAGAGGAAATCTGTGCTTGGAGGAGCTGGGAAGCCACAGGGCATGGCCCCACGTGCGGGCGCCTCAGTGGCCATCATCTGTCATCTGCCTCCAAAGGCCGATTCCGGATCCTGCGCTGCCCGCCACACCCGCACTTCACCTCCAGCCGCCCCAGCCCCTTCACTTACACCCCAGGACAGTGCAAAAAGCCCCTGAGCTGCACGGGGTTGGCTGGGGATCCCTTTCCTTCCCGGCTGTTAGAACTCTTAGAAATGCATGTCACCCTGCCAGTCCCGCCCCAGCGCTCTGAGCCAGGCCCTGAGTGTTGGGGGACCAGCGCCCGCCTGCTCTGAGCCGCCCTGGCATGCACGCTACACTTTCCTCCTCACATTTCAATTCGTGTTCTGAGCTCAGCAAGATATTTTACTGCTTCAGCGGGTTTACCCATGCAAAGGGCGTACGGGCTGTACACAGAAGGCTGGGCAGATGTGGGAAGGAAGGGGCGCTCCCCCTCGGCTTCTGGTGAACTGGAGGGCTGGGAACCAGTGTCTGCGCCCAGTGGCCGGCAGTTGCCCTGCAGCAGCTACCTCTGGCAGGCCATTGGAGCGATGACTGCCGAGAAAGCCACCAGAGCGGCTTTCCGTCCTCACAGATAAGCGCTGTGCAGCAAACATGTCAGAGTGTGGGAAGTGACACAGCAGGCCCGATGCACCTAGGAGGGGCACTCGGTCCCATCCCTGTTGTCACTGCTGTAATCAAACACTAGGAACAGAAGCTCCATCCCAACCACGTCGCACAGATATGTCAGTGGCATTGGATGCCACTGTCACCACTGTGCACCTCAGTCCTCACAGTGCTCCCAGAGGCCCCTGGAGGGCTGGGCCACTGTCTCACATGGCAAGCATGCTTGGAGAGCTGGCTCCCTGTTCTTGGTCGCCTGGCAGAGCCTGGCTGTGCCTGGGTATTCATCGTGAAGCCATGTGCCCTCGTGGTGAGGCCTCACTGACCAGGGTTGGGCATGGGGGCCACTGTCCCTGCAGGGCTGTGACTGTGCAGAGGGCCTGGCTCTTGTCCTCACTGGTGCCTCCACACTATGTCCCGGTGTCCCCCAGGGGTGATACTGCTGCTGCTGGACAAGCTGCGCAAGATGAAGTGGGAGCAGATGTGGAGGCTGACGGCAGAGCGGGAGCTCATGGGCATGCTGGCCACGTCGCTGGCAGACCAGGTGAGTGGTGGGAGCTCGTGGGCATGCTGGCCACATCACTGGCAGACCAGGTGAGTGGTGGGAGCTCGAGGACATGCTGGCCACGTCGCTGGCAGACCAGGTGAGTGGTGGGAGCTCATGGGCATGCTGGCCACGTTGCTGGCGGACCAGGTGAGTGGTGGGAGCTCGTGGGCATGCTGGCCACGTCGCTGGCGGACCAGGTGAGTGGTGGGAGCTCGTGGGCATGCTGGCCACGTCACTGGCAGAGCAGGTGAGTGGTGGGAGCTCATGGGCATGCTGGCCACGTCGCTGGCAGACCAGGTGAGTGGTGGGAGCTCGTGGACATGCTGGCCACGTCGCTGGCAGACCAGGTGAGTGATGGGAGCTCGTGGGCATGCTGGCCACGTCACTGGTGGACCAGGTGAGTGGTGGGAGCTCGTGGACATGCTGGCCATGTCGCTTGTGGGCCAGGTGAGTGGTGGGAGCTTGTGGGCATGATGGCCACGTCACTGGTGGACCAGGTGAGTGGTGGGAGCTTGTGGGCATGCTGGCCACGTCACTGGTGGACCAGGTGAGTGGTGGGAGCTCGTGGACATGCTGGCCACGTCACTGGTGGGCCAGGTGAGTGGTGGGAGCTCGTGGACATGCTGGCCACATCGCTGGGGGACCAGGTGAGTGGTGGGAGTTTGTGGGCATGATGGCCACGTCACTGGTGGGCCAGGTGAGTAGTAGGAGCTTGTGGCACACTGTCAGTGGCCCTGGCAGACCAGGTGAGTGGCCAGATTGTGGAGCTGGCATTTCTGAGCACCAGTGTCTATCGATACGTGGTGCGATGTCACCACAGCAGGTACCCTGGTGGCCAACTTACCAGGGAAAATGCTGATTGGCTCATAGTTCTGGGTCCCAGCCCACGGCCTCTGGACCCATTGCTTCTGAGCCTGGGGCAAGGCTACACATCATGGTGGTGCCTATGGAGGAGCAAAACCACTTCCCCTGGGCCTGGGGATCAAATGTGAGGAGGCAGAGAGGACCGGGGCTCCACAGGAGCACCCGGGGACCAGGCCTTTGCCACGCAAGCCTTTGAGGACAGTAGAATCCAAGCCATGCGCCCTACTGCTGTTTCTCCAAGAAGCCTAAGAGCTGTGGGTGCCAGGGCCCTGTTCAGAAAGGGGTGCAGGGAAGGAAACCCTTGGTCCTTGGCCTGAGAGCCACGGGTGTAGGAGTAGCTCTCTGAGCCAGGGCCATCAGCTTGGGATCGGTGTGCCCTGAGCACAGGGCACCGCAGGATGCACCCAGACAGCCTGCCTTCCCCTCGCTGTCCCTGTGCCTGATGCTGAAGGTCCTGCCCTGGGGACCCTGAATGCCTGGCTCCAGAAATAGCCTCTTCCAGGGGGTCAGAAGACGGACCTCTGGTGCCACCAGGCTACTCCTATTCGTGAGACAACCCGTGTCTCACCTGGGTGGCAGGGCAGGGGCCCTTGAGGGCCTGGACTCTGCAGGCTCGCCCAGACTTTGATCTCGCAGTGGCCACGGTGGCCGCCATGAGACAGAGCTGGCTTCTCCGAGCGCTCTGCGTGTCACCCTTTCTTTGTACCTAGAGACGATCTGACCATCACGTTTTTGTCTAGCATTCAGTTGCCTGGTTCACCGAGCTCCCAGCGAGTTTCCAATACAGAGGACACACACCGGTTCTGCAGGGGCCCCCTGCTATTTTTCAAGCATTTTTATTCAATATTTTCTAAGCAGCTAGAAGCTGATTTCTAAACAACGATGTGCTATGTAAGGCACGAGCTAAAGACAAACAGCACACAGGCTCTGTCTGAAATGGGGGGAGATCACCCGCCATCTCATCCTTGTAGTCCAGTGGCAGTCACCTCAGGGTGGCCCCAAAGCTGGCATTTGCATAGCCACGTCCAGGGAGAACAGTCTGGTCAGCCAGCTCCTGCCACGAGGTCCCACGCTCACCCCGTCCCCAGTTAGTGGTTAGCGTGGCTCACACTGCAGCATGCAGCGGAGCCAGAGTGAGGCCCCAGGACAAGGCCGAGCCTTGGAGCTGGCTTCGCAGCCTAGAGCATGCTGGGCCAGGGGAGCACCCTGAGGGGGTTGTAGGAGAGAGAGGCCGGCTTTGATTGCTTGGCGATGCAGTTGCCTCGCGGATGCTTGGGAGGGATAGTGGGGCCCCTGGGTGGGAGGGAAAGGGGAGGAGGACACACTACCACACGCCCACACACAGGGCAGGTGCCCACAAGGCTTGCTGGATGACATGAGCCAGCCAGGTGGTGAGCAGCCGGCTGGTTGGGGGCCAGCCTGTCTCCATCTCTGGCTCCGTCCAGCACGATGGCACGGGCACAGACAGCGAGAGTCTTGGGGTGCTCAGAGGCCAGTGCTCAGGCGCCGCCCTGGGGCAGGGGAGACAGGGCAGCAGGCTGAGCCCTAACAGAATAAACGAAAGTTGGAATTATGGCTCCGTGGTAGACGTTTGAGTCATATGACTTGGCCCTAGAATCAGTACCCTGTAAGGAAGGGAAGGAGGGAAGAGAAGATGCAAGGGAGAGAGAGAGATTAATGAGAGCTAAGTTTGGCAGTACAAATTTCTTCACTTGATGGCTTTCGTCCCCAGGACATTTTCAACGCCGTCATCAAGCAGAACCCCTTCCTGGTGCACCAACTGCCCTGCTTCTGGAATGTGCAGCTCTCTGACCACACCCGCTCCGAGCAGTGCTACCGGGATGTATCAGACCTGAAGGTAGGGTGGGGACAGACGCTGGGCCAGGAGGTGTAGGAGGCCGGGTAGGGGACAGCAACTCGAGACTGAGAGCTATGTGTGTGGTGTTCAGAGAGGAAGCAGGGTGCACAGAGGGAGCATGCGCTTCTCCTCCACAGGCAGGATGCCGTGACCTGCCCCAGCTCTGTGGCAAGGAGTGGTGGTCCCCCAGCCCAGGGCCACCTGTCAGGGTAACTCTTCCTGCTGCCTGCTGCCTACATCCCTTCATTCACTCTAGCAAAGGCGTTTGTGAGAGCTGATTCCATGAACATAGACGCCAATAGCTTCTATTCCGTCACTCACAACCTAGAGGAAGAGCATGAGGACAGAGGTGTCCAAACATTGACAGTGCTGTGACAGGTGTAGGTGGGTGGACCCCGAAGGGCCACATGAGTGTCCAGGTCTTCCTCCTGGGAAGGGACAGGTACCATTGCTGGTGATGAGTGCAGCCTGCGCTGGACAGTGCTGGCTTTCTTTGGCCCAGCCCAGCAGCCACAGTCAGCTGAAGTCTAGGCAGCTGAGGACTGGGCAGCTCTGCTGTCCTCCATGTTCTCCTGGGCTTTTGTGGGCAGGGGAGCCAGAGCAGTAGGCTGAGCCCAAATGGAATAAAAGAAATCTGAAGAAAGCCTTGTGTCACCTTCATTGGCCTCCAGCTGCCCCAGAGAACCCTTCGGTTCACATTGGGGTTAGGGTTTAGGGTTCCTTGTCCAGAGTCAGAATTCCCGAGTGACGGTGGAGTGGAGCGCCGGCTGCACTGCTGCACCATTGGACAAGGACCCGACACTGCCCCGTCCAAGGCCAGCTGCCTTTGCCTCTCCTCACGGATAGGAGGAGCATCCCTAGAGCTCATTTCCTTAAAAATGCATACACATCCCTTGAGCAAGCGTCAGGGCCTTGTGGGGTTCTAAACCTCATGACCCAGAAGTCACTTGCCCCCAGAAGTCACTTGCTCCCGGAAGTCACTTGCCCCCGGAAGTCACTTGCCCCC